ATTTATGTAAGTGGCGCCCTTTGGTATCTTTTATTACTGTAACATGTGATATACATTAAGGGGGTATATTGCCTTGGGGGCGTCGTCGGGTACACATGCTGTTTGCCACAAATAACTCTATAAATGTTACGTGCACAATCTACAGTAATCATTGCTATAAAAATTGATTTGACACAACTGATACGTTGATGATATTGTTACAACAATTGCTGGAAGTTTTATGTGTTTTTACACAGATTTTTTTTGTGTCACAAGTGATGATGATAAGTAACGAATAATCGTAAAAGTGAATACTTAATAAACATTCATCATTTTTAATGCATATTAACATATAGTTGATATATATATAAATAATTAAATTAATGTGGTACATATATTATGTACATTGAATGTATGCATATGCTTGTTATGAAAAATTAAATGTGTTACAAATTATGATGATAAGTAACGAGAAGTAATCGCAAACGTAACCGACAGGCTACCCTACTTAGCACTATCTAATCTAATCAGAGTAATCACTGACCGCACAGGGCGGTACGCAGATCTTAGATTAGTCATTGAATAATCACGAAGCTTATAAGAAATACACAAATTAATCAGTGAGCAGGGTGGGACTTTGCAGAAACCCCCCAGCTATCAAAGAGTGAAAGTGCCCAAATGCATTAACTCGAAAAAGACTTAACAACATCATTGTCAGATTGGATCGATTTTTCATTTGTGTTGGCGTCCAGAGCTTCAATCGCCCAATTGTCAGATTGGAGATCTGAGCGCCAACACAAGTGAAAAATCGACTTAGGCCGAAATTCTGAATAGCCACCCTAATAATATTCTAAAACTTTTATTTAACATGTTTTCTATATTATTTATTTATATTTATGAATTGTGCTTATATACTTTTTAGTGTGGAAATGTCAAACATTAAACTCTGTCATTGAAATACAGACTCTGGTACTAGACCTCTGAACCAATCTTGCATTTAATTGTGACTTTTTTTTCACACAACACAACTCTTAATTCAGCTCTAGAGTACATGTCATCCTATTCTTAAAACAAACACGAACTTACTATCTCTTATTACTAATTATCTCTTATAACAATTATTTCTGTATATAATTTTTAATTATTTAAAAATGGCGCAAACACTTTTAAAGTATAAATGCCTCAAACGAGTCTATTATAATAGCAAAGTTAAAGTATTAATTAAATGAATTTAAAATAAAATATATTTTATACAATATTACCACAAATTTTTAAATTTTATTTTAGTTTTCATTTCCAAACATTATTCATATTTCCAAACATTTTAATATTCATTTAGAATTTCATTGAGCTGTTCAATTCTACATAAACTTAAACTGCAACGTGTTTCGTAAAGCTATGCTCTTGAATAATATATTCACAGTCCTGCTGAAGTGTGACCTTATCTTCCTCACAGAATTCCAATAATTTATTCATGAGCAAGTACATACCACATTATATTTCACATAATAATTTTCATTTTAATGAACACAAACGAGTGCCATGACATTAATGCATATCCACAACATTAAGTTTAGGATATTTTCAGTAAAAAAAGGTTCATATTTCTAGCTCATTTGAAATTTAATTTTAAAACTTTTAAAATTGTAGCATTAATTTTAAAAATTAATGTTACTCATACGCACTGCATATCCAATACAAGTACCTAATATTTGCAACATGGTTGTGGAGAAACAAGATTTTGTTGGTTATGCTGTATTTATTTATATTTCAATGAAGTTAGTGTAATTTTAAACAATAACTAGTAAAAAAAAAAATTTTAAACTTTTTGGTAAATTCAGAGAATAATTTAGTAAAGTAGAAATACAGAAAAAATACTGGGATAATATACCAGGATTAAAACAATCCAAATCACTTATTGGTACCTAAAACAATTAGAGATATCAGGCTTGTAGGAACCTATCAAAATAAACACTTACAATCATCACAGGAATCCTAACAAGGTACTGTAAACTAAAACACCACCTTCGAAGACTGGGTATATTTACGGATGTAAACTGTAAAGAGAATGAGGAGTCAGCCACACATGTGCTGTTACAATACCATATGATAATGCACAGACGGAATAGGCTCCTGGGAATGTCCTTACTTAAGAGGCAATAAAACTCTGTAAAGTAGGTTCTATACTATTTTTTATTGACGCAATAGGGCTTAGAGACCTACTTTAAACCCAGAAGGGAGCACAATAGACCCGACGGTCGCCGTGCCACATCCCCTAACCGTTAAGAAATGATAATGAAATCAAGTAAATTGTTATAATAAACAAATTATTTCCATTATGGGCATTATTATATATCAATTATTTTTGAAATTTCTTCATTCCTCTACTCAATGATATATGAATTCTATTACTACCTATTACTGCCTCAGATTTCTAACTTAAATTATTATTACAAACCAATTAGAAATTTCTATATAATTTTCTTTTGATTTCTCATTTGAATAATTTTTGTAAATCAATTATTTTTAAAATTTCTTCATTCCTCTACTCAATGATATATGAAATCTGTTACTACCATTGTCTCTGATTTCTAACTTAAATTATTATTACGGTCCAATTAAAAATTTCTACAATTTCTATATAATTTACTTTTGATTTTTCATTTGAATAATTCTAGTAAACCAATTATTTCTAAAAATTTTAATATTCTTCTACGGATAGTTATAAGAATTCTAAAACTGCCATTACTTTTGCCATAAATTATTATTATAAACCAATTACTAATATATCTACAACTCATTTATTTTTATACTCATTTAAAATATGAATTCTAGGACTATCATTACTTTTGCCCTAAATTATTATTATAAACCAATTACTCGTATATCTACACCTCCTGTATTTTTGTACTCTTTTAAAATATGAATTCTAGGACTACCATTACGTTTCTTTTGATTTTTAACAGAATATGAAATAAATTATTGCATTTTCAAACTGTCAACAAACTACAAATCATTAGTCACACACTCTTTCCTCTGTTTTATTAATTTAACTTTTGCTTGACGATATTTGTATTTGTGCCATTACAAGTAGAAAATTTTCCTTCATCATTGCGTTGAGTTTTCTTCCATGCAAATATCTACGTTTTGTATTTACTTGCCTTTGCAAAGTTGTAAGCACGTCTCTCCACTTGACAGTCATGTTCGACCTTTTCATTCCCTGCTACTGCGACAACGACAATGCAAAGTTGAACAATAGCCGTTTATGACTTCAGCACAAGTCATTCTTCTGCAGCCCCTAGAATGTCGTAAATGCCTTGAAAGTCAGGTCGTAGTTGAATGCTCATACAAAACACACAGCTAGCTCAGCAAATGAATAGAACTTTTGACTAAGGTCATTGTATCTCTTATACCAATTAAAGTTGGTAAGCGTTGACTGACTGACACACCCATTACCGTCAGCTCAGGAGTATAAATAATACAAATTATGAATGTCGCATGCACATAAATTATATAAATGCGCCTAATTACATTTAATTAATTTATGCTTTTTAGCAATTTAAAGATAGCAAATATTTCGCATCTCTCACTTAAAGCATGTCAATTACTTTTTAACTTTACCTTTAAAAATGGAGTAATAAATAATATATAATAATATATTTAATAAAATAAAAGTCTTCATGAAAATGTCATTTGCAGTTTGATACATTTATAATTTTTTTATTATTTTATGAAGGGAATAAATTTAATTTACTGCAGTTGTCGTTTTTATTTAACTTATATAAAACTTTTAGATTTGCTGATATTAAAAATTTACTTACAAATCATATTTTTATTATACTTAATACATATATACGACTTTTTTATTTACTACATACTGTAAAGTTATAAGTTTGGTAACTATTAATGGAGAAAAATTTTCTTTCAATATTTCTCAAGGAATGACTTTTTCATATTAAAAGCAGCAAATAGTGGCTTTAAAACTTCAACTCTAACAAATAATAATTATATTTACTTACACCCTCTTTGACATAACCATTATAAAATCAGACAGTGTCATGCCAAGGACTACCCTAACAACAGATCAGTTTATTTTTTGGTGGTCTCTCCTATAAATGGAGGCACTTTATTTTTAATAGCCTACGAGTGCTGAATCCTGATGACGACACCATTAGGCTAGTAAAAGATTAAAAAGAAGAAGTCTTCAATATTATCTTAAGCAAATAATTTTTTTTTGATTTGTGCTTTAACAAAATAAAATAAAAATGGTAGAAAGGTGAACTTGCATCTATATCGCAAATTAAATCAAATTCTATATTATTCTATATTACTATCTATACCCTAATTACTCAAAAGTAGAACATAAAATAAAAATACAAATTGACAATAATGATGACTTTTCTAAGAATAGAAATTCGTCTGCACTAATGTGAACTGAATACTTTGGAAGAATTCTCGGTTTGAAGTGTGACAGGACTGACACACATAATCAAAATTGGTTTAAGTAACAATAATAATCCCCCAATAAATGATCCCCCATTAATAGCATTAACATTCCCTGCGGGATAGGGGTTAGAAATTTCCCGCGGTAAGGCATGCCTGTCGTACGAGGCGACTTAAATCCAGCCAGGCGTCGGAGGGTGTGACTTAAAAGGCCACAAAAATATTTCAGTAACCTTGCTTAAATCACTTTTCCGACTTATGAAATATCTCTCAATTGTGTGACTGATAAATTTAAACTAAGAGCTAAGACTAATATTCTGACTAAGAGTCTAGTCCTATCAAAACATCTTGCCATAGTGTCGAGGTAAATTACCACTTCAGTCCTAACATCACTTTACCCTTAACTATTAAATGATTTTTATTGATTCGATGGTTATCATATAGAATTATAAATTTAAAAACTACCAGTTTATCTCATAGTTATCGCTTTTCATCAAATATCACTTAAGTACATTAATAATTACCAATTATTTTTAAATAAATTTCATTAATATAAAATTTATTTATTTTAATTACAGGTCATAGAAGAACGAATTATACATATACCTTATGTGCCTATCTTACCGGAACCACTAAATGCTCCAACGGGTAATGAAATAAAACCACGTCCTGTAGGTGAAGAAAATGGCACTGTGGTATTTAATTATAATCCTATTAGCGCCGTCAACTATGTAAGTCTCACTTATTACATTCATTACAAACTAATATTAAATTTAAAATTATTTTTCACTTTAAGAATATTAATTGTGTTTCTAATCTATATTTTTCTTGCTACTTTAAATTGAAATTGACTAACTAACTAACTATTAGAAGTGCATTGAAACTAAAATTATATAAAAATAACTTATAATATATATTTAAATACATATATAAATTTAACAAAATTTATTTATGTTGAATCAAAACTAAATAAAACGCTTACTTATTGTGAAATTTGGTTATAGTCCTTAAAGAATCCTTTAATAAACATAATTATGCTGTACGTCAGGATAATCAACAAAATTACTGAAGTAAAAAAAATTGCTTTGTATATTTTCAAAGCTAAGATTAAAGAAAATATTTAAAAAAGAATTTTCCATTTAACAGAATTAATAAAAATAAAAATAGGGAAACATCAAAGGATTCACATTTTTTTCTGATTTATTCTGTTTTTATACAATAATACTTGCAATTGAATAATGATATGAAAAAATACAAAATATTTTTTAATAGCAAAGCATCCTTTAAGTTAGAAGAAAAAAATTTAATAAAAAACAGCAACTTTTAATAAAGTTTGGAATTCATTTTGATATGAAGTTGCTTATAATATTATATTTCAAAATTGTCGACCATAATTGCTATTTTATAAAAATTTAATTTAGATGCTTTAATTGTATAATAAAAAGATAATTTTAATTAAAAATAAACAAGCGGGTAATTAACAGTTAATAAACAAATAATTTATTCGACAATAATGTATCAGAAGATGTGAATATAAGATAAAATAATATGTTAAAATTATTTAATTTTATCTGGTAATAACAACTCACATATTTCAATATACTTATAAAGTATTTATATGTATGTAATCAGCCGCGAATCTAGAACTCCCAATGGAGAAAGTCCAATGAAAGAAATAACACAAATTGTTTAGAGTATATAACATTATGTGTATGTTAGGAATAAATATTTACTTACAACAATCTTAGAAATTATTAACAATATTGTGTGCTAAATAACGAAAAACTACTAAATAGTGAGGTTTGTTAGGCTAGGGCCTGAGCACATCATTCAGCTTCTCGCCAACATGTTGTGAATGATAGTCTGTCACCCAAAAACTTTCATTTGTCATTCAAGAGCATATTTTCACATGGTTGCACTAACACATTTACAGCGTACGAAAGACACCTACAGCCTGCGTAAACACCCTTATTCTTCAAAAATTTTGCTTGAATGAAATCTCTTGTATGTAAGCACGTTCAAGTTTGGTGGCTAGAATAAATTTGAGCAAAAGAGAGTGCAACTTGAATGACATTCAAAAATGATAGTCTGCACCACGCTTTAAAGTTAATCCTGTTAACTTTATATTTGCTTATATTACTTTTTTCTAAGCAGATACCAAACTTTTCCGTAATTTACTGAAAAAACCAATATATACTTATCGGCTCAGTTCTAGTTTGACGCTTTGAAATAATCATCAGATACGAATGGGAGTCCACGGTCATGTTGGACCTCTACGTAACTGAGCAATTGCATATACTTGTTAAATATACAAATATAAACAAAAAGTATGTTTTACTACAATAATAAAATAATTTAATTTAATAGTTTCAATAATTCATCAAAAAAACAAAATCCTAATAAAATATTTAAAAAGCTTATTATTTTTAAGACTTCAACTAATACTTCTTATCTGAATGCTTACAAAATTTTGGAAAAATCAACTATGTAATGCTACCTATATTAGGTGTTAATTTTTAGTTCAATCCTTTAATAATATTAACAATCTGGTAGAGATGTGAAGTAACTAATATTTTTAATTTAAAATGCTCAGAAATTATGTTAAAAAAAATAATCATTTAATATTAATCTTGTAACTAATGCATCTGATCTGTTTTTGTAATGATTATAAAAAACTAAATTATTTAATAATATCATGAATGTTGTAGATATTGAAAGAAATTAATACCACTAATCAAGAACTTAATTGTTTAAATTCTTGTTATAAATAACTATAAAAATTTATACTATAATTTAGGATAATTTAAAAAAGAAACCAGCTGACGACTCAAGCGATACTGATTCAGATATTGAATCAGTCGATTCAGAAGCTGAAAAACAAACCGACTTGAAAATAGAAAAGAGTATTACCAAGATTTTGGAGTCGATGTCGTCAAGCAATTCGAATGAAGACGATGATGATGATGATGATAGCGATGGGGATGAATGTGACGTGGATAGTGATACCTCTGCGATGAATATGCGTAAACAAAAGAGTTTAAAAAAGAAGAAAGAACATAAGGAAATACCAAAAATTGTTGAGGACGAAATTGAAGATATATGGGCTAATAAAACACCAGAATATAAACCATCCACACCAATTCCTGTAAGGCACCGAAAAAGAACTCAAGAAGTTACTGTAAATGAGGAAGCAGCAAATGGTGGAGAAGTTTTAGCGCCAACATTTGTTCCAAATAAAAATGATTTGAAGGAAAATATAATTATAAAAGTTGCAAGTATTATTAATGAATATAGTGTGAACAGTGAAGAGGGTGAAGAGCACGATCTCAAACAAAATGATTTAAAAACGAAATTGCTTGATAATATTCAAGAATTAAGAAACAAGAATGTAGAATTAGAAGTGAAAGGGAATATTAAATGTAAAGAAAATGCACAAAATAAAGAAAATGCACAAACTCAGTCTAAACAAAATAATAGCAATGAAACACAAATTAATAATGATAATGAACAAAATGCTGATGATGATTCTTTAAATTTACCACAGTTCAGTCGTTCATCTGTCGGCGGTTCTAAAATTTTAACTAACTGCCATCCCTTTAATCCTATTGATTACGATGGACTGGAATTCGAATCCCGCTTCGAATCTGGTAACCTGGCAAAGGCTGTGCAAATAACTCCAAGTTACTATGAATTGTATTTACGTTCAGACTTGTACACAAGTCGATCCAAGCAATGGTTTTATTTTAGAGTAAAAAAGACTAGAAAAAATCGAAATTATAGGTATGTATAGCTAGTACATAGAGGAATATTCAAATTTTATTTACCATATATCATTTTTTTTTATAAAAATTTTGTTAATTTATTGTAATTTTGTTTATTTGTTTTAGATTTTCTATTGTTAATTTAGTCAAATCGGACAGTTTATTTAATGATGGTATGCGTCCGGTCATGTATTCTACAATCGATGCCAAGCAATCAAAAATAGGTTGGCGACGTTGTGGCGAGAATATAAGCTACTATCACAACGAAGAGTAAGCACAAAACAATTTTATTTGATCTAAAATCATGAGAACTTAGACTAAAATAAAAAATATATTTTATTATTATATTTACAGTAGTTCTGGTGAAGAGGAGGAGAATGCTTCGTTTACTTTGACTTTTAATATAGAATTTCAATATGACAATGATACGGTTTATTTTGCTCATTGTTATCCTTATACATATAGCGATTTACAGGTATGACACTTTTACAACATTTTTTATTATATAGAGTAAAATTAGAGTAAATTAAGCAGTCTACAACAGACTCAACATAGATCGCCGAAAATAACAAAATGATATATTTTATATTTATATTCAATAAAAAAGTTCTAATATTAATAAACGGCAACAACAAAATTTTTATATTTAATTAATACATTTTTTTTGGCTGATCTTACAGCTGTTTTGAGTTTAGCCATTATAAATGATCGTTAGAAATAACTGTTATTGGTCAATTAGTTTCAATGTCGGTTTCAGAAATCTCAGCTACTTGGACTAAATTAGTATGGTGTCTCCTCTTTACTGTCGAGAACCTTATTAAAATCCCACGGACTGCCACTCTGCCGATTGAGTGGTCAAAAGTGAATGCTAATGGTCACAACAGAGCTACTGGTTATTATAAAATGATAAACTAACGCAACTAATTAGTCTACTGTTTACATACAATAAAAAAAAATCAAATAAGGTTTATAATTTTAGTGCAATTGGTAATAAGCAGACTTAATTGAAAACTATTTTTTGACTTATCTGTTTCGCCTTCATTTTTGTACCCTCACCGCATCCATCGATAATGCCTCTACTGATTAGTTGGTATATAATATTATGGACTGCAAATGCCTAAATATCGAAGTAGTGATGTCTATAAAAGCACTCGAGAAATAATATACACTATAAAACAAAAAACTGAATTGATTAAATATAAAAATATTGTTGTTTCAATTCACTACTATTGGAACTTTTTTGTTTCAAAACCAGATTTTTCATATTTCCATATATGACGTTTGGATAAAAATTATACAAGTATTTCTTTTTAGAAATCTTTTAACTAAAAGTATAAGACTTTTATATCTTGTATATATTTTTCATATAAAATTTTGAATAACAAAATACTTTTTGATATCATAAATTTAATCATTTATTTTCTTTTTTCAATAACAATTATCTTTTATATCTCAAGTGTTAAATATTATTTATTTTCTCCTCATATAGGATTACCTGATGAATATACAAAAGGATCCAATTAAATCGAAATTCTGCAAATTAAGACTTTTATGCCGCTCATTAGCTGGTAATAATGTATATTATTTAACAGTGACTGCACCATCACCGGATGAGCACTCATTAAGAGTAAGTGAAAAAAATGATAACCCATTCGCATAACAATTCCCATTTGTCCCAGTAGATAAAAGCAAAAACAATATCCGTTCCAAACTTTACTAATTGTTAACACAATCAATTTCAATTTTTACTTGGCTAATTTTTCGGAGGACATACTTTTCATACACCCCATACACGATACCGTCTCGCTGCACAAATAATAACCAATTTGCCTCTAAGGTTTTAATTAATTTTAAATGAGCCAAATGCACAATTTGCTCTTAGCAGTTTTGCTTGTTTTAGTCATTGTCGGGCAATTGCTGCCAGTTTTTATGGATGATATTCCATGAAAAGTAAATGTTGACTAATGTGGAAGTAGGAAATGAGATTGTGTAGGAAATCCTTTAGAAATATATGTATATTGCAGTTCGTCCAAGCAATGGTAAAAGGTTTTTAGAAATTCTAACCACATAAAATTTGTGTGTGTGCCACATAATCCCTATACTGATTAATTTAAAGGAAAAAGGAAAATATATAAGTTAGTAAATTTTAATATTAAGAGGATTAATTTTTTTTATATTTTATTCAAGTTACATTCGTCCCCACTAAATGGGTGTACTTTTTTTATTTATTTTTAAATAAATTAAGGACCTGTATTATTCACTTTAATAAAAGTCAAATTAGTGTCTTTGATATAAATTACAAAGCTTACAGATTTGTAAGGAAACCCACAAATTAAATAGCCAGGAAATTATAAATTACCGTAAAACCACTAACTTTTCTTGAGGTTAAAATAAATATTTTAATCTTAAGCATAAACTTAAGTAACCTTTAGACAGCGTACGGTAGCAAAATACATTAAAAGTTATGTTAAATCAGATTTCAGGATTAAATAATAATTTAAAAATCAAATTTTATTTTGTTAATTTTTTTCTACGAAGTACTGTATAAAGCAATGAAAAAGTTTTAAAAAAATTCAATGTTCAGCCCCGGGAAAAAAGTTTGTGACGAAGAATGTAAAATAAAAAGTTTCCAACAAATAAGAAAATTAGAAAAGTTAGCATTCATGAAATAACTTCATTAGAAATGACACACTTTAAGGATATAAAAATTATACAAATTTTCCGAAGCTAAAGAATATAAAATCTAAAGAAAACGTCATTTTTAAGAATGAAATAGAATTATTCCATTTGGATGTTAGTAATGTAATTAGTTTTAAAGAGAAGTAAAAATTTTTTGCTTAATTACTTTTTTTCATAAGAAATAGAAAAATGGTGAAAGGAAAGCGACGAACAATAATTCTTTTTAAAATTAAAATAATTTACTTATATATCTTTATAGCAGGGAGGGTTTAAGCAATTGTAAATGGGTGCATCTAGAAAATTTTTTAGGGGCTGCCTATTTATTTTCAACAATTTTCCTTTAACTAAATACACACTATTTAGAGTTTTTATAAGTAGAGTTCACGAGTGAAACTGTGTCAGAGTAAATGCTTTATCAGTGTTTTCTGGCATAGTGGGCTCTTTCAAATACTCGGAGAGAAAAGTACTCTAAGCAGATATATGGCAACGACAATTAACTTTAAGAAAGCCATTAGCAAAATGAGTTCCGAAGTTATTTACTATAGACACCAACCGCAACCGTGTAAAATTTTTAGACCAATCTTTGGACAAATATTGTTGTTGGTTGATATTAGTGGTTGCAGACCTCCCTATTAGATCTAAGTATTAAGTAAACGCCATTTCCTTGCCACTAGCGCGTAGAAAAGTTTTTGTCGGATTGTGATTAAAAAATAATATCATTTGCGGAAAAAGTACATTTGGGATACTCGCTAGACTCATTACTTCGTAGACTGCCATAGTGACAAGATTAAAACATAAACAGTTCTGTTTTCCTTCTTCTCCCTAGCTTTTACATTTTTGAAAAAAGGGTATATTTAATTTACCTGTCAGTTCTTCCAAGAGTTAATTCAGTTCGATGCTAGCCCTGACATATAGGACTTATATTCGCAACAAATTCAAATTTGTTTTCATTTTTATAAAAGGAAAGAACAAGTTCTGTTGAATTCGTACATGATCCAGTTGACGTTCCGTATCGATTCATATTTGTGAGCGATTCATATTTGTGAACATGAATCTATTATTATATACGAATTTGAACGGGGTTAATAAGTTCCAACAAAGGTGACCATCATGTGGTCAGCAGAAAAAATAATGACAATTGTATTTTAAACTACAGACGATATATATACAAAGCAGTCACTTTCCATTGAAACATACTAACAATGGTGATTGCAGCATTATTGCACTGTTTCATTACCATTTACAAAAACAAATATACTCTTTGGAGTAAGAATAAAAAGTATCTCTATTAAAAACAGTGCCCGAATGCATACCCAAAACGACTAAATCATAAATTTCGATACGAATTGCTTCCCCATCGACAGGTTTCGCTTTCAGCTACTATTTCTAATTCCAAATAAATGTATGACTTTTGTTGAAAGGATGGAAACTTTTTTCGAAAGGATGGAAACATATTTTATCCATAGTGATTCGTTGGAATTAAAGTATTGAATAGTAATGAAAATATGTGGAGAAAAAAATATGGAGTTTTTATGATTTTGCTAAAAATTATTGACTTAGTTCTTCTAATAGATCTGACTCTCTTCTTTTAATTTTTATTTTATTTGAAAATCGACTCAATTAAAGCTCAATTTTTAGAATATAAAATTATATGATTCCTTTCTTAATCCTTTCTTTATATAATTTCTTATATTTAATTACTACTAACAGTTCCATTTTATTTTCACATTCACTTTTTATTGACAATCAAATTTTTTAATCATATTTTTGAATATAGCGCAAAAAATCGATTGTTGTATCTGCACGTGTACATCCAAGTGAAACTCCATCATCATGGATGATGAAAGGACTAATGGATTTCATAACTGGTGAAACAATAGTGGCCAAGCGTTTACGTCACAAATTCATATTCAAACTGATACCAATGCTTAATCCTGATGGTGTTATTGTTGGTAATACACGTAATTCGCTTACAGGCAAAGACTTAAATCGACAATACCGCACCGTCATAAGAGAATACTATCCATCCATTTGGTATACAAAAGCATTAATTAAAAGGTCAGTTGCAAATGCAGTACGCAAATACAAATTGGTACGAAACGCAAAAAGGTGCTTTTTTTCTTTTTTTTTTATTTATGTTTTTTATTCTATTATTTTTTATTCTTTAATTTTTAATTTTCTTTATTTTTATACAAATATTATTCAAACAATTTTTTTAGTGTATAATTATCTTCATAATTTTTTCTAATTATTCTAGACTGGTTGATGAATGCGGTGTTGCAATGTACTGTGATATGCACGCTCATTCTCGCAGGCACAATATTTTCGTTTATGGCTGTGAGAATAAACGTAATCCGGAAAAGAAGCTGACGGAACAAGTTTTTCCGCTAATGATGCATAAAAATGTGGCAGATAAGGTGAGTTGAGTTAGCTTTGCAAGAATTCACTTTTATGAAATTCTGCGCTTTTCAAATGGATTCGAATGGATTCGTTAGTTTCTACAATATTTCACTTGCAGCAGCTAAAAAATTTTAATGAGCAGAGCATTCCTATGAGTATTCCTCACATTTTCCCAATTTTATTTTACTTAGTTCTCCTTTGAATGCTGTAAATTTAAAGTGCAACGCAGCAAAGAAGGCACTGGACGCATTGTGGTTTGGATGCTAGGCATAACAAACAGTTATACTATTGAAGCATCCTTCGGTGGAACTTCGTTGGGTTCACGTAAAGGCACACATTTCAATACAGGGGTAAGTGAAATACTTTAAATATATTTATATATGAAATGACCATATACAGAATAATATTTAATGGATTAGAAATAAATCTTGGAAAACCTAATAAGAAATTATCCTTATGAACGAAATTTTTGAAATTCAAACATTAAACTACTCTAATAAAAATTATTCATACATAATTACTACACAATAAAAGTTCAACAATAAACATTATATCAAATGTCACATTAGAACTTAAAAAAATCATCCTCCTCAAGGCTAAAAAGTTGCCCTTTTCATAGTTTTACTCTATGAGTTAAGTTACAAAAACAATTTCTATCAGTTAAACCCAAAAGTAAAACCAACAAATTATTTACAAAAAAAAAATAGGACAAATTTTATGGTTTATATGATTTGATGAGCTGCTTTCGTAGTAAATTTTGAGATACTCTGAACCATAGCTAAAATAATAATGACGTACTTCAGCTGATATGAATGTCGTAGTTGATAAAATTTTTGACATAAAAACGGTGGTCTCCTTTAAAGGGAAAAAGGAAACCATGTAGGGTGGCACATTAATGTTGAGGGATGACTGAAATGGCCCATAAAATATACACGAAGAACTAATAAAATGAGAATATAATAAATGCGATGAAGATTCGCGTCGTTTCTTATATTGATGGCACTGTCAGTAATAGGAAAATGAAAATAATGAGTTTTGCTTCTTCATAATGAAAGATTAAGTATTCTTATAAATTGTATAAGTCTGTAAAAAAAACGTAACTACATTTTATGACGAGGTCATTAATGTGAAAGCACAGCATATCTTATTAAAGTGAAAGTAAAAAAAGATACTAAATGAATGATTTTATCGTAGAAAGAAAACAAATAGTAAAAACTTATCGTTAAAAATTCATTAAGAAAATTGCTCAGCTTAAGATTTGACATAGTAAAAATAGTAAATAAAACACATACATATATGAAAAAAAAGTTAACTGTACTGGGTTGCTTAGATAGTTCTGGAATAAATCAGTGAAATTTTGGCAATAAAAATAGTTATTCTTATCAACAAATTAATAATATGGATCTGTGAGACTAACTACTTTATTCAAAAGATATAATAATAAAATCAATTTTTTTCATTTCCTTTGCATTAATATTTCCAAATATATATAGGAGTTATATATATTCAAACGAATAGTACAACTGTCATTTGATATTTTAAGTGGGTTTTGAAATTACAGTAATCGTAGGGATTGACTTGAACCTATCAATCACAGTGGGTTATATAAAACTGGTATATAAAACTCGTTAAAATCATTTTTTAAT